CTGCTTGAATCAGCTCATGCTATGCATAGTGCAATGGCACTAATGTCTAACTCTTTAGCAAGCTCTCGAGTGGTTGCTTACTGATTTTCTTCCATAAGTTCTTGCAAGTACGCCTTATCAACATCAGTAGGCTGGCCAGAATGATCTGCTTCTTGAATGTCATAGTCCTCATTTTTGAACTTTCGGTACCGAACCTTCACTGTGTCTTATGATGCAACATTAGTACCTAAAGCTGTACACATGATTTGGTGACATTGTAGCTCACTTTTTGCAACAGAACTGGAAGTAAATGATGGTCCTAATCTGCTGATAGTTCCATTTAAAATACCTTGCACTTAATGATATTTTTTTACAAATTTCACAATACAGTGTTCTAAAGCAAGTCTCTTTCTTTCAAATGCTAACAATCGTTTGACAAAATATGATTAAGCATGTCAACGTGAACTGTTTGTGCAGATGATATTTGCAGTGGGTATAAACTTTTGTTAAAGCTCAATATTTCATAAAAAACATGTTGCCTAGAATTTAGTAAAAAGAAAAAAGCTATTAATTTTTCAAGTAATATAAAAAAACTATAGCTTAAAGTGCTTGCTTTGACAAGTTTGTATATGCTTATTACCACTTTTCAGATTAAAAAAATAAAACAGCTTATGGTGAGATTAAATTGAAGAGATGAGCAACAAATCTGCAGTAATAATACAGACGTGCATTCCTGAAAAAAATGTAATCCATTAATATAACACACATATTATTTATCTTTAAAATGGGTACTATTCGGTTTTGAGGGCCGTAAAAAATCGCCAAACTATTGTTGATGCCAGTGTGGCCAAAAATAATTGTGGTAACCCTAACGCAGGAAAGGAAGTATAATAGTAAATAGCTATCTAAGATTGATGTTTTAATTTAGATGAAAAGTTAATTTCATATAATACTTTTTTATTATTATAATTTATATAAAAAAAGCTAAACATAACTGAATGGAAGCATAAGAGTAAATAACTATTTCAGATCATTATTATAATTTATATAAAAATTGCTAAATATAACTGAATGGATGCCTGCATCGTTATTTCGCTACCGAGTTATCGCTAAAGCATAGTTTCATCTCGTTGGTTGTTCAAACATAATTTTCTATAATGAATGATGCTTTTTCTTTGAAAAAATTCTCGGTAAATTGAAGAATTGCCCACTTATTTGTTTGCAGCTTTTTACAAGGGTAAAATCAATTGCATTTTTGGCAATTTTCTTTGACTTTTTAAGTGAAAATAGGTCGATGTGTACATAGATAAATTCAAGGGTGTGCACAGTGCCATCTTTGTGTAATTCTGGGATTTTTTTTAAAGTGAAAATAGGTCGATGTGTACATGGATACCGAGAATGTGCAATTCTTAAAAACGCGTCAAGCTCGGTAGCGGGCCTGCATCGCTATTTCACTACCAAGTTATCGGTAAAGCATAGTTTCATCTCGTTGGTTGTTCAAACATAATTTTCTATAATGAATGATGCTTTTTCTTTGAAAAAATTCTCGGTAAAGTGCAGAATCTCCCACTTATTTGTTTGCAGCTTTTTACAAGGGTAAAAACAATTGGATTTTTGTCAATTTTCTTTGACTTTTTAAGTGAAAATAGGTCGATGTGTACATAGATAAATTCAAGGGTGTGCACAGTGACATTTTTGTGCAATTCTGGGATTTTTTTTAAAGTGAAAATCGGTCGATGTGTACATGGATACCGAGTATGTGCAATTCTTAAAAACGTGTCAAGCAGTGGATGATTCTGCACTTTACCCAAAATTCTATTGTAGACTTTGCATCATGGGCAATTCGCAAATTGTTAAATCTATAGGATATCAAAAAAGGATTTAAAAATTAAACTAGTATTTCAATGGCGTCTTAAGAAATATAGAACTATATAAACTTACGCAATCTGAAATCAGCTCGTACGCTGGATTTGGCGCACTGTTAAATGGGCGTGTTTGCTAGATTTTTCGGTTTTGCGCATACATTTTCGCTGCAATTTTTTTACGGTTCTCAAAACGGAATAGTACCATAAAATGAATTTCTGTATTCCTAACTGTCTTTCAACATAGTATAAAACATCTTCGCTGTTTATAACAATAATATTAATATACATTATTATTACAAAATTAGCTGAATTAATTATGTATATTTACATTTGAATAGAAATATCTGTTATCTAAATTTAATATGTTTTCATCTAGAAATATATGCTATTTGCTTGAGGAGTAGTGCATAGTTACGTTTTATAAGCTATAGAAAATTTCATGTTTTAATTCTCTTCTCAATTATTCTTTGTGCAGTGAATGTTTATAATTGAAATTTTGATGTAGTACAGTTTTCCTATATAATCTACTTTATTTTTGTAAAACTGCTGAAGATGAGAATTTCCACAGTGGTATTTAATTTTCATTCAGTTCTGAATTCAATTGATGAGTAATGTTTGATTCTTCCCCCCTCCCCTTAAATTTTGGGTTTCTTCACATTGTAATTATAGCTTCAAAAGATTTGTTTTATGCACTAACGAAATTGAGCAGAGTGTGAAATTACATTATATATGTTTAATTAGTGAAGTAAATATTTCTGAATATTAAGAAATTTGAATAAGTAAATGATAAAAAGTTCTGTTGGTATTACTTGTTCACTAATTTTGTACTACAGCAACAATAAATAAGTGTAATACTTTTCAATCCTTTATACCAGTGATATTCAAAACAACCTCATTTGGGTCTGTGAAAATTTATAATAGGGTCAGAAATTGGATAAAAACTAAAAATTATATAAATATATAAAAATGTAAATATGAACCAAATTACCCTAGAAAATTCTCTAAGAGAGAATTCTTCCATCACGCAGATAGCGTTCACTTGCTTTGCCTTAAAATGTTAACTCGTTCTAATTTAGTCTATTAAAAATGAATAATATCAAAATTTTCGCTAATTATATTCCTACGTTATGCCTGAAGGGGCTTTTTTTTTTAAACATTTTGTGTGTTACCTTTATTTATTAAATATCATGTTCTTTACACTTAAACCATAAACTTCAATTCAACAGCAATATTGCAATATAATTTTTAAATGAGCATATCTTCAGAATTTTCAATATGCCGTCTTGCACGCTGAAGTTGCCATTGCTCTCTTTTAAATCGTTGAGTTTGCTAATCACAAATTCATTAAAGTTTTACAAAATATGAAATAGATAATAAAATAAATTCCAAATTCCAAATTTGGTCTTCCAAATGCCGATATTCGGGTGAAACGTACGTTATTCAAAATTTGATGGCTCTAGGTACCATTTTATCACAATGCGAGAAACATACATACAATTAAGCAAATTGTTCATTATTTAATTTCTTTAAATATAATACAGGGTTCTAATATTTGGTATTTGGTGGCAACAATTTGAAAAGTGAACTGACATTTGAACACAAAATGCCAAAATGAAATTAATAGTCCTTATGGGCAAATTGCCCCTTTGGACTAAAAAATCCAAATTGATTGTATATAGTAACTAAGCATTGACACTCTGAATCAACTTCTTCAAACTGTAAGGTTCCTTTATGTTAATTAATTAACTGTTTTATATGACTCTTTACTGTTACTTCTTTCTTCCATTTTCCTGCCAGAATGGAATTGTTTTGTGGGTATTTATAGTGAGTTTTTTAAATTGTAAGACAGAGCATGTTCTGTCTCTTGAGGCCATGTTACTAGGTGGCTAGAGCAGATTTGTAGTCTTCGACCTTTTATTATAATTGCCGATAATTGAATATCCATGCCAGTTAAGTTGAGCTGGCTTCCTGTTAAATTGATCCATGTAGCCTTGGACTACTAGCTTATTTAAATTTAATTTAATATTTGAACTTGGTATTATTTTATCTCGCCATAAGTGGTGGGCCGAACTTGTGAGCACCAGGTGTGCTAGGCCTACACAATCATAGGTAATTGAGGTACTGCTAAATCTAGATAACAATTAAGCTTCTGCACTGATTTTAAGGAGGAACACCTCAGAGGTAGCACTAGAGTTCCCCATCGCTCTTCCGCTACCACCAACCTCTTGAGGGGATTTCAACTCACTGTATAATTTGAGTGCCTCTTTGCCTGAAAGATACTATGTGCTTGCAAACATCCATGCCTTCTCCAGGATTCAAACCCAGGCCATCAGTATGGCAATCAGCACCATTAACCACTATTTAAGCTAAGTGATGTTAAGGTTGAATATGAAAATAGAAAATATTTTTTTACCCAAGCTATTTCCTCAAGATTTTCCAATCTCGTAAACATTGGTAATCTTTATTTGAAAACTAAATTTTCCTCATTTTCTTTAATGTGGTAAAATTTTCATCAGTATTACTTGCTTACTAGACATTACAATGCAATACAAAAACTATAGCAAGAAGTATGCACTCTTCAACTGCTGAGAAAATAATTATGCCAAAGACTGGAAAATATTAGAGGCAGGTGGGTTTTAGCTACGATGAAGCCAGCGAGCTTTGTTTAACAACATTTTGTCTGTGTGCCTACAAAATGCATTCCTGACTTGAGCTGATGATGTTTATTTTGCTTTTTATGGTAAGTACTATTATTTTATGGTAAGTACTCTAGAGATATAACATAATGCCATAATGCCTCTCTGCGGGTATTTTGTTTCTAAAGTCTTTTACTTTTATCACAGAAAGTAAACCATAAAAAATAAACAGCATCAGCAAAAGTCATATAGCACATTTTAAAGGATCGGTCATGTTCTAACATATAACTAATCATGCTACTTGTACATTCAAAAAGTATGCATATATGTACTCGCAGAAAGTTTAAATTAGAGGGCTTTAATTTTTTATCTCTGTAAGCTGTGCTGCCGTTAGTCAACAATGTGTATTTAAGTAATGATTTATATTTAAATAAATGTTATTGTATATATAATTAAGACTTTTTTTAATTTGCAATTTTTACATTCATACTTAGCTGCTGATTTTTTAATTTCTTTATAGCATATCACTGTCAAGTTTTGGAATGTCTGATGAGTCTGAAAAAAGATATTGTTAAAGTGAGTTATTAAATATAGAAAATTAGGAAAATATTATGTTTCCCGGTTAATTCAAATCATTGAATAAAATTTTGGTAGAATTAGATTCCCTCCACTTTCCTGCTGTTTGTATGTGTGAATCATAGCACTTTTGGAAAATGTGAAGAACATTTAGCTCATACTTACAGTTCCCTGCATTTCAATGTGCTGCATTTTATTATCAGTTTTAATATTAATTAATTTAACATAAGTTTTATTTTCTTTTCATGTAATTTCAACACTCAAAAAATGTATTGAATAAATCCTAGGACAATTGAATATTAAAAATGTTATGGTAGTTATGTGCTTAAAAATGGATAAATGTGCTGCATTTAAAAAATATTAAGGCTTTATTTTTTTAAATTTTAGCTGTCCATATTTTTAATCAATGGAAATAATAGGTTTTTCATGCATTTATATATATACAGTACAAAGTCCGTAATTCGGACTCGTAGGGACTTCGGCGATTACTGATTAGGGGTTTTTCCGGATTATAGATCATCAATTTAAATCTCGTAAGATGACATGCAAAAATTATACAATTAAAAATATGAAACCGTAATTTATGAAATAAAGAGCAATTATGATCTAAAGGATATTAAAATTTACAAATAAAGCTTAATATTTATTGTTTACTTTATTAAGATTTCTTTCAAAAGTGTTTAAGTTTTGCTTCCTTTTTTGTGCTAATACTTTCTCTTTAATTCTATAAACAGACTAATTTTGTTCAGGACAAAGTTTCACTGTTCAAGTCCTGTAATTGCTGTGTCGAGAATACCAACTAACTTGTCAATCGAAATTTTTTTTGTTTTCAATAACCTCTCTGTCACATTCTTTGCTATCACATAATTGAAAGTTCAGGCTTAATTTTTATAAAATTTCTCTAACAGTTTGCAAAAAATAATAAGCCAGATCCAGTTAGAAGATTAAGGAACAGCCCAATCTGCAACATAACTGAAATGCCTTAGAATCAGTAAAGATAATTTTAGCCTAGCTTATACTGTCTATTATACATTAAATGTGCATTTGTACTGTATATATATGTGTGATGAAAAAGGAGAAAAATATATGGCAATGTACATAGGGCAGCAGGTAGGTAATATAAAATAACATAGTAGATAGTATTCATACTGAAGATCCATACTGAAGAGGAAGAATTAATTATGATTGCATAGAATGCTAAAATGTTGAATCCATAATGACTAGGAAACTTAGTCTGTAGTGTCATTAGATTTTTTTTATATGAGAGATGTGAAAAATGTGCAACGACTTCGCCAGAAATCAAACCTGGACCTCTCGAATATGCACTGAGTGTGCTACCATTCCACCATGAAGGCATTCAGAAAGGAGGGAGGACATAGCTTATATATACTCCCCTTTCAAAGAGCATCTAGCGATATTATCAAATTTTCCATCCCATGAGTACAGGCTTCTCCTTAATTATTTTCATTCTTGATGCTGAAGAAGAATTTATTTAAACATTTGAAACTAATCCTGTGAATGTACATAACTTACACTGACTTTTGTTGCCTTAGTATCTTCTAATATTAGCACTTTAGAATATGGAATTAAAATTTTGTTACAGAAACAAATGCAGAACTTTTATTTGTTTCTTTAAATTTTATTTTGACGTTATATGTATATTTTTTGGTGTGCTTTGAGAGGGGTGGCAAATGTTGTGACTATGCTATTTTCAGCTGTATGGGCTATTTTTTAAAAAGAAAACTGTCTTTCATCACTTGCAGTGTAAGCAAGTTTGCATTCATTGCACAAAATGTAAACAAACTAATTAATGAAATACATTTCGGTTTGGATTCAATGCCTGAAAAGCTATAGAAACATTAATTCTTTACACTTTTTAACAGCAGAAACCCAAAATTAACACTAAAAGACAACAAAAACACTCTGAAGTAATGACTAATCTAAAAAGAAAAATTTGGAAATTCAGGATCAGTGATTACTGTAAGGGAACTCTGTTATGTAAAAAATGTTAAATTATCTCAATAATAAAATTAATTTAATTCTTTAATCAAAGTATGATATAAATGTAATGCAATTTTTTTAAAAAAAGTGTTTGCATATTTAAAAAAAAATTGCTAAGTTTACCATGCTGAATTTTCTGAAAAATTGAAATTTTGTTCCTTCTTTCAAAAAAAAAAAAAAAAAAAAAGAGAGAGAGAGTCCAGTGGCATTCTTGAATGAAGTGACCATGAATTATTGAAATTCTCTTGTGTTTCAATTTTAGTTTCTGTTTTAATTTTTCAATCAATTAGAATGAAATTTATTTCCACTTTCATAACAAATAAAAAATAATGTTTATTTGTATATTTCTTTTAAGGATCTCCTTTGTGTGATTGCTCATGGAACAGCTAAAGCTCGTTGCCATGCTGTAGAACTTCTGTTTCAGTATCTTCCAACTTTAAACCCAGCTCTTTTGGACAGGAAAGGAATTGGTAATAAGCTTAATGGTGTGTTCTTTTGAATTTTGTATGCTCATGCTTTTTATGTCAAAAAAACTTTGACATACAATATCAGATGATGAAAATCCTGACAGAAAATTTACACTTTTGAAATGATGTGCAGAGGATATAATGAAAACATTCCCCATTTTGCTGTCAGTGCTAAATTCGCAGTACAGTAAGATATTATGAGCAAAATTTCAACAGAGAGTATTGTTTTTCATAATGACTTAATACCTTGTACTATTTGCAAATATAAAAATACCAGGAAAAAATAAATGAATATTCCAAAAATATTTTAAATGTGTTATGCTTATTTTATGCAAAACTTATACTCCTTGGGAAATATTGGATAAATACTGGAAATTATTAAAAATTTTTATATATAAAATTAATATTTAAACATTGATCTTAGAATAATAAAATCTGGATTCATATTTTTACTGAAAATGTGTGTTTTAGCTGTCTTTAAATATAATTTAAGCCCTTTTTGTGACATTATTGTAAATGCACATTTTTGTTCAAATTTATAATTTATAATTCTGTTGGTCATTCAGTCAAATGCTAAGTATGCACATAAAAAATCATCTATAAATCGCCTCTATCATAAATTTCCTAATGCACTGATTGTAAGGATTATTCTTGAATTTTAGAAGGTAATCTGATATTTCAATTTCAGTCTACTTTCAGTAAAATTCTTTTAAAAAATGCCACCATTAATAGTTTTTAGGATATATCAAATCTAAAAACTGTAAAATAATGTTTATGTATATTTTACATTTGAGGAATTAGGTTATTAAATTTTCACTCGTGATTTGACGTTTAAAATGCAACAAACATTTTATGCTTAATTCTCTTTCTTCAGTGAAAGGGGACACTGTTTGATCCTTTTACTTTTTAATAATGACAGAGATAGTATGTAATTACAGTTGAAAAGAATCATTTCACTAAGTGGAATCAAATACATAAGGTGTAAAACAACCTTTCCTCTCAATGTGAGACCTTGCTTAATTTTCATGATTTTCACTGATTAAACTTAATTTATGATAGCATGTTCCATGGCAATTATTTCCTCTGAGTTTTTTGCCTTGTTAGCAGAACATAAAGTATATTCAAAATGAGGTAACAGAATGATATAATGAAAGTGGCCCTTGTGATAGAAAGAAAATTACATTAATTATACAAATACCGAAAATCCGCTGACCTGAAATCTGTATTGCCTTTCAAAATATAAACCTTCATTTTATAGGTTCCGGAAACCGGAACATTGAGTATGAAATATCGAAGAAAAAATACTTACCGAATAATGACGTCATAATTACCAAATAATAATGAGTCATAACGGAAATACCAAATTATTGACATCCTGATAAAAGTTTTTTCCCCCTTCACGTTGTTGTATTTTCTGAGCTTTGTTATTTCACGAGATTATTTAATGCTGTGTTTTTTTATCAGGTTATTTTGTGGATAAATTAAGAATATTTTAAATTTCAGCCCTTTTTAATACAATGATAGATAAGAAACCCACTCATGATTTAACTGCTTGCAACATTGAAAAATGTAAACACGTTGCACTGACAGTAATGCAAAAAGGGCAAATTCTGTAAAAGATGGAGGTAGTTTCCACTCCTTGGTTTACAGCAGAATTGTATGAAATTGGGACACAATTGTGTATGATATACGGAAAAATAAAGAAAAGCTTTTGAAACTTTACAGCAACAATGATTCTAACACCGAAATCTGAAACTGGGAAAAACCTAAAATCTTTGCCGGAAAAAATATAAAATCTTTGCATGAGGCGAAATCGGCAAACCTGAATGCTGTGTACATATAATACAATGAATAATGTAATCAATTTATATACTATGTAATAATAATTTAATGCATATAATAAATTATTGCAATAATGTGTATAATAATTTAATTAAATCTATCTAATACGCCTTATTTAGTTTGCACTTGAGTTGCATATTATGTTTATCTTTCCTGTCCTGAAATCTGCAAAATCCTAATATCCGCACAACCTCTGGTCCCAAGCTTTGCGGATTTCTGGACTTCTGCTGTAGTACAGTGAAAACAAAAATTCTAGGATCTGTTCTTGGCACAGACTATTTCTATGTAATTATTTATTTGAATGTGTGATAAATCCTGACCAAGAACAAATGACCAAAGTATTTCTTTTTGTGAACAATTACATGAAGAATATTAACAATAACAAAGCTTGTATAAAATAGCAGTCACTAATTAATTTATTACATTCTCCGCCATTAGGCACTAAGTGGAAGGGGAGGGATGCTCTGTGGAGCATATTTTAAGAAAACTGGCTCATATCCATATTACACATGGGGAAAATCATGAAAACACCTATGCAACCAGCTGTTCTCTAGAGCAGCTGTCATTACATTTCTAATATTTTAAGGCCTGTGGCTGTGCCATATCTTCAAAGCTTGCATTAAGCCATCTTTGAACAAGATAAATGCAGGACTACATATCGTCCATGCTGGCCTGATCTACCTTGATACAGAGAATGTTCAACTGTTACCCCGATCTGTATGTTCTCTAGATCTCATACCCCTTGAGAACATCCGGTCACAGGCTGCTGAGAGACTGGCATGCCATAACTCACCAGCCTGCCATAGAGTTGAAGCTACATGGAATAAAATACCCATATCTATTATCCAAGCTCATGTCAACTCGGTATCCATTCAGATTATAGCCATTGTTGCTGTCAAAAGTGCCAGCTTTGTGTACTGAATTCTACATGCTTTGTACCTTAGACTACCCTCAAATTTGATCATGTCTTCTTGTTGTTATTTTGAATATGTACAATAAATAAGATTCTGCTGTTTGCTTTCCTTTAGAAACTTTAATGGCCAGCAGTATATATGTGAATCACGGAAAGTTGTTTCAGCAGAACTGCATAAAAATTCTTATTAAAACAATAACTTTCAAAATAATAGCTGGACAAGTTTTATACTAAATTACAAATAGCAGAGTAAATTTCAGAAATTTTTTTATCATAAATATGTCTTATGTATGCAAAAGTAATATTCAAATCTATTTATTCTTCCAAGAATTTTCATAATGCTAACATTGATTGCAGTTTCAGAAATCACCATTTAAAAAATTAAAACTTATGAAAACCTACACTTTAATGGTTCAAGAATGACTCGCTAGTTCCAATACCTACAGAGCATGGTCATGCATCAGTAGTTGATATTTGTGAGTTAATTAAAAATTTTATTAAATCAAAGGCCTAAGAGATTAGTTTTTAATAATTTTTATACTTAAGGTGCAATAATTTTTCTCTATGTAGAGACTGGGCATAACCATACATATATATCAGCGTTAATGTATAATTTTTATACAGTTCTTTATGATATTATTTTTTATAAATATCCACATAAATAGGTGTATGTTAATGTGTAAGTATGACTATATATATATGGAGAGAGAGAATGTAACTAGGACTATAAAATTTTCTGTATAATAAAGGAAAAGCAGGAAGATGAATAGTGTGCAATAAAAGTTGTAGTCTAAAATATAAAAATAATAGTTAGCAAGTGAGAGAGAAACATTGTTGCAAGTTACAAATCCTATGGGAAAACTCATTATTGTTGGATAAGAAATCAACATTAAAAAAGTTGAACAGAAGTGTGAATATAATAAATAAAAATTAAAAATATGAATTTCCGTGTCATCATATCACGAGGGCTATGCAAGGTAATTAATCAACCAAATTCCAGTCATATAACTGGACTGTACTGTAAACCACCATAAATAAATTTGGATTACTTAATAATAAAAAAGTAATATGATTTAAATAATAACTGTGTAATGTTCCATAAAGGTGCCAACAAATAGGAATCAGTCCAAAGAGGTCCATCAACAAATCAGTCCATCAACTAAAATCAAAATTGACTATCAAAGTGTAACAGTAATTGTGACAGGTGAGATGAATAAAGATTAAGTAACAAATTATTTATTATTAAAAATTTTAAAACAAATTAATTATGAGCACTGACATTTTCTTCATGTGTCGGCATCAGATATTCTGATCATGCTTTAAATTTTCTTCAGTAAAAAAGATTTTTGGCAATGGTTTTTCATGAAAATTAAATGATTCTCAATGTGTTACTGTAATATGCATGCATCATACGAGAAATATGCCTTTTTAAATTATGAATTATAGTTGCACTGTGTGGGAAAGATAAAAAAGTATATTTAATATTTTTTAATTATTATATTTTGAAAACAGATGAATTTATGTTACTATATCCCAAAATTGCTCGTATAAAAACAGTGACTAAAATCGCATTTAAGTAAATGATCAATTTTTGATTTAATTCTAGTTTTCTATAGATAATTAGTCTAACTGAAAACAAAGAAATGAGTGTTTTTATAGTGTGATTAATTGAAATGCTGCTGATGTTTCATGTCAGTCTCTAACAACAGTTTTTTTATAACTATTTTTTCCCAAAATTTCTATAATTGATATATTGCACTTTCTGTGCTCTATTGCATTTTAGTTGTTTAATACTGGACATGTAAAAAATTTTACAAATAACATTTTTTTATTTATGATGACTTTTGCATACTTTCGTTATTGTCTATTTGTTATGACAAATAAAATTTTTATCTTTATATAATTTTATTAGAAATTGCTTGAAATATATCTGTATATGTTTCTAAGAAAATGTTCAAAACTCTATTTTTATATGTTTCTTTTATCCAGTGATATTTATGTTTCATGTTTATGAGTAGACATTTTTAAACAGAATTAGAGCTTTGCTAAGCTGCATTTGAAAAAAATTTTATTTTTAGAGTTTTCATAGTGCATATAGAACTTGCTATAATTCTTTTGTTATTGGGTTATATTGTCATCAGTTTGTATGCATACTGCTTGAAGACAAACTGATTAAAGTGCTTTGAATATAACACTTGATATTTATTAGTTATTTATTAGGGCTTTTATTTTTTATTTTTCGTCTGCA